CCTAAAGTAAAGTGATCATTTGCAAAATCTAAACATAGATGGAAATATTATTTTAAAATGGGTGTTAAAATTGTATGGTTGCTTCAAATGGCTCAGGCTAGTGTCCGGTAGTGGGCTGCTGCTAACACGGTAATGAACATTCGGGTTACATGATGCCCGGGAAAATATCTTCACCAGCTGAACGACTGTCAGAATCTTAAAATTACTCTGCTCTGTGGAGTTAGAGTTTAATTTATTGCGAGTTTATGAATGGAAAGGCATATGAAGGAAACGGATCTCCAAGCTTTAATTATCCGTAATTTCCCGTTAGAGACTGAGGGAATTATGAAAATTCCCTATTCAAGACAGCCGGCTGTGAGCGATATTGAAACCACGTGACCCCAGAATACATATAAACTCAGCTTTACGAATGATAGTAACCCGGTTTGTTCGGCTATGTCTTTGAACTGCAATATAATTTATATGAACGCATTAAAGGTGTTCCTCCGTTCGAAACAATCCTTGTTTCTTAAAGGACGCTGCCATGGTTACCGAGACACGGCGTATTGCTTGTCACTGGTTTAATAACTGGCCCTTATTGATCGGGTAACAAATCCTTATAGGGCAGAGACAGGAAACGTGCTAATTAAGACCCGGATGTGACGGGTAATATCCTGCTGCGTTCTTCGGTGATTTGTAAGACTCCCTCAAGCAAGAAGAGAGCAAATGGGAATGAGATCTACCTCGACATTTTTGTCGTCGTCGTTAGAGGCGGCGGCTTCCAGAAGTAGGCAGACACGTGTGGGTTCATTTGATCCGAGTGTTGGCGGAACAGTGTTCACTCGTTCTGCCTTCCTGTTGGGTCCGAATACATTCTTGTTAAGTCCAGGAAATATCACAAACGAGTTTCGACATGTCATCTACAGGGTGGTCATATTTACAACGCGATTTCGATACAATGGAAAATGTAATTTAGTTATTGTGTCTTAAGCTGGAAACCCCGTTCTTATTCCTGGTCATTTCGAAGACATTTTGTACCCAGATTTTCTAACCATTCCTCGACATTTGGTGGGACTCTAATAAGTTTACATTAAATATTAATAACATTCCTGAAGTGTGCTGGAAGTATTCTTTGTATAACATGAATCACATTACATTGCACTACATTATGTCTTCTGCCTGTTTCCAAGAATTTTCAATTTTCAAGCCAACATACTTACACTGATATTGGACGTTTTATTTTTTATTTTTTGTTATTACCGGGACGCTTATGGGATACAGACAACTATTTGTGGATCTTCTTAGCAGAAGATATAAAGGTACGGCCACAGCAAAGATTTTGATTTCCCAGCGAAAGCAAACATCTTCTAATAATGCCACGGAATTCGGGATATGTTACGACTACGTCCCGACTGATATTGCGTGATATTTTCATTACGTCCAAGCGCAAAATTATTTTGGATCCTACATCCCCCCAAAAGTTCATCTGTTGAAGTAACTTCTGGCTCAGGGTGTGATCCAATAGCGAGCTCTTATGAGCATTGCAATAAAAAAACATTTCAGTAACTGGAGGGGCTCTGGAAAACCACGGAAATGCTTAGGCGTGCGACACATTTCAGTAACTGGAGGGGCTCGGGAAAACCACGGAAATGCTTAGGCGTGCCAGTCTTCAGGCCTAGAATAGAGAATGGTCCTTGAGAAACGAGTGTCTGATCAGGAGTTCCTCCATTTTGCATACTTACGAAGGCAGTAAGGTGAAGATGGCTGTGTTTTGGGATGTTGTAACATGTAGCCAGGTAGATATTGACCGACGTTTTCAGAGGAACGTACTGCCTCCATCAGGGTTAACATCTGTTAATATCTACGAAGATGGTCGTCTTCAAACTCGTCGTCATAACAACCTCAGATCTCAGTAGGTGTTTAATGTATTGTGAGGGGAAACACGAAACTGTTGTGTTTCATTGAATTTATGGCTCCGATAAGGAAAGGTTGTTTCTTCAGTTTTAACGATTTCCTGGATCTCGTCCAGTACGACTCCCATTTTATACTTCGTTGCTGTTTATCCTGAACTTGATGTGAGGAGCTTCAGTCATTTAATCTTCATCAGATTGATTCCGCCATTCTCCAGAAATTACTTCAAGTCTCATGTCCTATGGCGTTGTAGCTATTGGGTCCAGACGCCGTCTTTCATCGGATCCCTTGCCTGTTCACATGTTTCGGAGTGAAATACGGTCATGCTTTTGTGAATACGGAGACGAGCCGACGCGTTCAATACAAGCCAAGTGTTGTTTGGTTAACTGAGCCACCGATAGTTTCTTAACCAGCTGATTTTCGTAATGGTGAGGTGTAGTGTTTTCTTCGCGGTACGGTCTGGATTCGTAAATATTATGAAGACGAGCTTCGGCTTCAAAGGGTTAAGGAGGATTCTGTTCCATGGAGTTAGATTATAAATGTGGAGACTCCCTTGGTTAAACATTATTTATATACCCCTCCTTCTTTCACAATGTCTCAAAAGGGAAGAAAATAGTAGTGGAAAACCACTAGGGAGACCAGGGCGTAGATGGATATAATAGTGGGATAGATATTTTAAAAAATAAAGAAGGTGATGCTGCAGCCTGGCTTTATCAGGCTCATGGTGTCTTAATATAGGCCACGACCACTTCCTCCCACATCAGTATTAATTTGCATCAAGTCATTTCGCATCTATTGCTGTGTTCTATTGACACGGTAAGGTGTCAGCATAATTAGAATATTTTTTTTTAATCCTGAGTCAATGTTGTCTGACCGTGGTGGCAATGAACCCAGGGCTTTCGGATGTGCTCTGATTGGTTCAGAGTCAGCACATTCGACGAACGTGTAGACTTACTCATATTG